CCCCTCTGCCTCCATTCTTTCCATTTTTCCCATTATTTCTTTAAACATTTCTGTCCATTCTTTCCTTTCCTCCTCCCATACCTCTCTTAATTTCCTTATATCTGTCCGTATCTTTTCCATTATATCTTCTGCACCATTACTTTTTCCCACTTCTCTTATCGTGTTGTCCAATCCTTCGCCCCCCTCCCCATCCATCTCGCTTCCCTCGCTCTCACTCTTGCATCTCTTTGCCTCTCTCATTTCTCCTCTATTATTCTCCCTCAGCCCCTCCTCGCTCTCTCTCCCCCCCACCACCGTTACTCTTTTCTTCTTTTCCTCCTCTGGGCCTTTCTTATCCAATCTTCCACCTTTATCTCTTAATTTTACTGTTGTCACAAATCTTTCCATCCTATCCCGTACGCCTTAATTCGACTCTCTATATCTACCCGTGATCCCACCTTTATTCCCTGTCTTACCTTTTCTGTCTCTGCCTTTACTTCTTACCGCCCCTTCTCTCTGCCTGCCTTTCCCGCTTTCTGATTTTCTCTCTTAACCTCAACTTTTATTTTTTTTCTTTATTCCTCTCTCTCTGCTTTTTCCTGCTCTTCTCTAGGCCTCTCTCTCTCTTTTCTCCACTCATCCTCCGCCTCCACGCTCTTTTCACCTCTATTTCTCTCCTCAAACACTTTTCCTCTTTAACTTTCTCACCAAAACTCGCGCTCACATCCAAGACACATCCACACTCCCCTCGAGTGAAATCTAACTCCCGCTTTTAATATTATATGTAAGTCATTTATCTGGAACATTATAATATTAATGTCATTTTTAATTGAGAATCATGATACACACACACACACACACGCGCGCGCGCGCACATATACACACACACATATATTTTCGCTGATATTGAACTTACATGCAACTGAATTTTATACGGCTCAAAAGTAACAGATGTTTGTCTTAAAACAATACATTTAATAAGATAACTATGGCCATTCCTTCTATATTCCTCAACTTGACGTACGTGTTCACTTTCAACTAATTTTCTTCCTTTTTCTTCAGTACAGGGTTGAAATTTAATTCTATGTAAAATGCTCTCAAGACCAGTCCTTATAACAATTATATCTATGTCCATAGTTAACCTTAACCTTCAAATCAATATAAATATTATTAACCTCTATTACATATTTATCTACTTTTATTTTACGCCGCTTACTTATAAACAATTACTTACTTTTATCGTATCCACGTATATCTAACAAGTTCAGTAACAGCAACAAATAAATATATCTTTACATTCTAGTATCGTGAATATTAGTACTGGTGAATATAATCGTGTAGCAGATGACAAATGGTTAACGAAGCCCGGCATCAACTTTCAAATCAAGATAAATTCAAATTTATAGGCATATCAAGCCAACCAGAAGGAATAACTCAATAAGTTATTGTTTTGTCTTTATATAATACTATGTTTTTTATTCGATTATTTTGTTCAATATTTATTATAATTCCTTTTTCGTAAAAGCCTATAGTAATCGTATATGAAGTGTCCTGAAAAAATGACATGTCCAGATGGCGCTACCAGCATGCACGAAGCGAATAGCTACCACTACTGTTTAAATTGTAAACGATTTCCATCATGTACTTTTCAGGTGTAATCTAATTGTTATCACTTCACCTCGAACGTTTATTAAATTTCCGTCTTGGTCAACGATGCGTAATTGTAAATTATATATACACTTAACGGTAACTGGGAGATAAATCACATTTGAAGGAACTTCGATAATTTTATATCCAGGCGGTACTGCAAAAAAAAATTCATGAATATTGTGAACCTTACTCCCATTCATATATGCACCTGAGCTAATGTTATACTCGACTCTCAGAGCATTTACTTTGAGAATTTTTACTGGAAGATTCGAACGGTGAGAGCTGTTTTTTTCTAGTTTACGCCGTGCAAATCTCAGTACTCGACCAATGGAATCTTGTGGACAAAAATCGATATCTTCTGAACTTTCAATTAGACAACGTGAAGTATTATTGTTCGGTTTCAGACTCACTGTTATTTCAGGCTCTAAGGTTTTACGAAGAAATTTATCAATATCTTCAATTTCATAACTACCCACAGATAAGATTACAGGTGGTTTATCACCTTTAATATTATTATTTTTTTATTATTATTATTTTATTTTATTTTATTATTATATTTATTTTTATTATTTTGGTGCTGTTAGTGATGATTATGAAAACCTACAGTCTAGTAGTAAAGGTACTGATGATACAGTTACGCACAACAATACACAAATTTATCACAGAGTATCTGAACTAAGCGAGGATCAGAGCTTGCCTGTCGATAAGTACATAAATGCTTTGGATAAAAGTGACTCTAGTTTTTTTTGGATTTCATTTATGGCGCACCATTTTGCATTACACGTAATGCTTCTATGAAAGTGTTCGCTAATACACTCAGTGCACTGTCATTCGCGTTCACGGTACCTGGCTCTAGTGCGGGCTGGTTCACTGCTTCGATTAACCTCCTCGGGCGGCCTGTCGGCGACAGCGTGACCGTGGTCGCCTGTTCAATATCGTTGATGGTCGGCTCTAATGGGTACCCTGGCTGCGACCGCCGTCTGCCTGACGGCGGTGATGATGGTGGTGTCACCTCTGATTGTTCGATCCTCTTTCGCAGCGGAGGCTGTTGTTGCCGTTGCCGGCCCGTCGGCGGTCTCTTGCCTCTTGTAGTTTTCTCAGCTGATGCAGCTAGTGTGGTTCTATTGCGAAGTTGTTTTGCAGCAGTCGCTTGGCTGTCAGCTGGAGCACGTCGTTTTCTCGGTGCCATTGTTGCGACGTAGTAAATTCACTGAGACACAATTACACTAACACTCGGATCCCACTCAATTTTTTCGACGTGTCCTCACCCGGGGCACCAAATGTTATTTAGGGGTGAGGTTGAGTAGGAAACTGAGTGATGGAATATTTATTATACTAATGTTTATTAAGGCACACGATACAGATAGTTTTACATGCGGTTAGATCGCGCTAATCACCAACTTACGCGAAACAAATGCTTTCGACAAAGGCTACTTGCCGGAGACAAGGATGGTGTCGAACTGAACTATTCCACTCTCGTACGCCGAAGACCAAATTTTCCAGGCCCCTCCCCGCCGCTACATTGCAGGATCTCATAGGCGCACGCGCTGTCGTTCACGCCCCCGCTCTTTCACCCTTCTTGCTCTCTCTCTCGCTCTCGTACGACAGCCGATCGGTCTAGAGCAAGTCCCATGTGACTTGCCCTTCCCGCCTCCAGGGTGACCCACATGTTCAGGAAGCTGAGCTTCCTCGAGGGGTCTGCAGCCTCCGGGTGCGCACGGATCTGTATTTGTGGCTTATGCGGCGACGAGCAACACTCACCAGGTGCCTCGTCCCGCAATACGTCGACTCAAGCATCGAGAGGAGCCCCGAGGGCCTCACACATACAGCACACCACACAAATACACCACGCAGACACACCACGCAGACACACCACACAACGACAAATTAACACGCAGGTTAATTTTTAGAACCCAATCTTCTCTCCGGCTATTGTGACACATTGTCTCGAGGTCGTAAACATTAATCGTGTTTCATTTGGAGAACAGCCGCGCGCGCACACATTTTCCCGACCTGAACGTGTCCTGTCGAACATGTGTACGGTCGAGCACCCGAACTCGAGTCCCGCTTTCTAAGAAGAAAAAACGTTTGCGCTTCGCAGTCGAACGAGCCTTCCAGCGCCCATGTGTCTCGCAATACCGCTTTTCAGAAACACCTGGGAAATTTTTATTTTATTTTCCATGCACGACTGACCCATGTGGCAGTCAGCCTGCTGCTCACTCGCGGGCGAACATATTTTTAGCGTTCTCAACACTAACAATACCGTCGGTTTTATTCGGATACATTTCAATGATCTTTCCCTTTTTCCATGAATTACGCGGCGCTTGATAGTCCAAGATAAGTACGATATCACCTACTCGAAAAGGAGTTGCAGGTTGGTGCCACTTTTTTCGTGGTAGCAGTGTTGGCAAATATTCCCGTAGCCAGCGTTTCCAGAATCCGTTCGCGAGATTTTGCGCGACTTCAAACGTTCGACGCGGATTTAATATTTCAACCTCATATCGCGGGATGCTCAAGTGGCCTGATGAGCGACCTATCAGGAAATGATTGGGTGTCAATGCTTCCTCATCGTCGGGACCAGTTGACACGTGAGTTAATGGCCGAGAATTCACCATATGTTCTATTTCTACCAATAAAGTAATCAACACCTCTTCGCTGCAAGATTGACCGCCCAATGCGTGATCTAGTGCTGTTTTTACCGATCGAACTAATCTCTCCCAAGCCCCGCCCATGTGCGGCGCTTCGGCAGGATTAAATACCCATACAAATCGATTTTTCTCTGTGAATCGTTGTATTTTCTCTCGGTCCATCGTAAACGCCTTAGCGTCCAGTTCTTTGCTTGCTTTTACAAAATTTGTCCCGTTGTCGCTGAATATTCTTTCCGGAAATCCCCTGCGACCTGATAATCTTTGTATAGCCATCAAAGTCGAATCGGCGTTTAAAGTATTAGCCAATTCAAGGTGTATAGCGCGCGTCGTCATGCAAGTGAACAAGACGCCCCATCTTTTCTCGCGTCGTCGACCAATTTTTATGATCATAGGGCCAAAGTAATCAAGCCCGCAATCTAAGAATGGCCTTTTGTTGATAGCTAAGCGACAGCGTGGTAGATCAGCCATCGGCGGGTTTGGCGGTTGTCCGCGTCGAATTCGACAAATGATACATCGCTTCGCGAGCCATCTCAAAGTCGTTCGTAGACCGACGATATAAAAACGCTGTCGCAATTCATTTACAACGGTTTCATTATTTGCGTGAAAATAACGCTTATGGTATGACTCGATTAGCAGTTTTGTAGCATAGTGATTTACGTCTAAGATGATAGGCAAATTTTCGAAATTTCCGAATTCAATCTTTGGTTTTCCTAATTTATCGTCTCATATTCTAGTAACGCGCCCGCGCGCTCGAAGTAGCCCTTCATTGTCAATATACGGCCGTAAGCCAATGAACTTACTACTTTTTGCAACAATTTTTCCGTTTTTAAGAGCGTCGAGTTCATTCGCAAAATAAGTTGATTGAATTAACCGATACCAAAACTTTTCACCTTCGAAAACTCGCTGCGCCGAATTTTCCTTGTTTTCGGAGATTATTTTGTCAGGTTGTATCGGTTTATTCTGTTTTTCGCGAGTTTCACAATACCAATGGTAAAAACATTTTCTCACTCTACCGCCTGTTTTTATTATTCGGTCCCAGCCTAATATTCGGATTCTTACGTCAACTTCCCACACATTTGGATTATTGATATGCAGTGCGCCAATGAATTCTTTTCGCGCCTCTAAGTTCTCTGCTTCCTTTTTTTCGATTTCGCTAAGTACTTTTGATCTTGGCCACAAATCGGGCTGATGACGTAAGAAGCTCGGCCCGATAAGCCACTGATCGTTTGAACTCATTGGCTTGTTTGATTGTCGCGTGCCCTCGTCGGCGGGATTGAGTTCCGCCGGAACCCAACGCCACTCTGTTGCGCGCGTATTTACATTTATTTCTCCCAAACGGTTAGCGACAAAAACTTGTTTCGTGCGCGGTCCTGTTTTGATCCAATGCAGAATCATAGTCGAGTCTGACCAAAAAATCCTATCATCCACTTTCAACTTAAGCTCTTGACCGATAGTCGTGGCCAAGCGAGCACCGAGAACTGCGGCCTGAAGCTCTAAACGCGGAATCGTCATAGGTTTGACGGGCGTGATTCGAGTTTTCGCTATAACGAGAGCCAAGTGTATTTTCCCGTCGCTGCCGATTATCCTAAGATATGCCACGGCGGCGAAAGCTTCTTTACTTGCATCACAAAATACGTGCAACTGCACATGCTTGTACTCTACACCTTCGGGAATAAAGGATCGCGGTATTGAGCATTCCGACATTCGTTTTAAATTATTTAGCCAAGTAAGCCATTTTTTGTATTCTTCTTCCCGAATTTTCGCATCCCAATTAACGCTGCTTATCCATATATCTTGAATAATTAATTTTGCGTTCAAAGTGAAAGGGGACAAAATGCCCAGTGGATCGTACACGGACATAGCCATACTTAAAACTTCGCGTTTCGTAGGTCTTTCCGCTCCTGCAGCTTCATTTTTCTTGATTTTGTTTAATCCGACATTAAATCGCAAAGTATTGTGACGTATGTGTGTGTCGCTGACTCGAGCGCTCGGTTGCTGGCGGGCTCGTAGAGCCGTCGTATGGGGGGAGTGTCGCTTACGCGCGTTTGCCGGCGGCACAATTAGCTTCGAGCACTCTTCAAACGGCGCTCGCCGGGTTTGGACACTCCCTGGATACAGTGATCATTTCTTCGGACCTACTTTGGATGGAGCGACTTGTTCTAATCATCAAGGGAACATTAACAGTGTGCGACGATCTGAATATCGAGGTGCTTGTCCGGCCCGGGAGGCTGCCCTTTCTTTGATTTACGCCAGCAATTCTTCACTATGATTACGTCGATGGAATCATGTGACAGATGTGCTCAGTGGAAGTTGGAGTGTGATTTTCTGGATAGATGATCTTTCTTTGGAAATCCACGTCGCAGCAGTGCGTTGGGCGATATCAACTTATATTGTCATTATCATGTAAGTGATGATTTGAATCGAGAAAATCTATGATATTGTTTATAAATTTAATATTGTGAACCACGTGAATAAGAGGAGGCGAATTATGGCAAATAATCGAGTGTATCTGATTAATTAAATTCATAAACTTTTTGAATTAGTATTAAATTTTAAGTTGCTTATGTATTTCAACGGCGAGTTCAAGAATGTAAATAGTCGGGCGTATGTAAATTAAGCGGACAAAGATGTTTAGAATATAAGGAATTTGAATAAGGCGACAACACTTCGAGTATGACCTTACATACTCTGAATTTGTAACTACAATATAAGTAAAACCAACTAAGTGTAACGAATTTGAATAAGGTGACAATATTTGAATATGACTTGGTATATCCTGAATTATTTTAATTATCCTCCCACTCTATCTACTCATACGACGTCGTGTATACATATTTGTACTTATCTTGAGTCCAATGCTGGATTTGATAAACTACAATTATAGTATCTGTCTCGCAATCCCAATATAAACCCAAAAAGCGCTCTTCTTTATCACACAGATTTGCTTTTTCTTTTTGTCCTAATTTGTTTTCATCTTTAACTTCATCGATTATACTTGATGTATTCGACGCCCACCCGTGCATCTCAAAATTAGCTTCTTTATTTATTGACTTCACGTCGCGTACTAGATTCTGCATTTGTTTTACGTCAGATCCGCTGGCGAGATAATCGTCCATATAAAAATTTTTTATAATACTTTTCGAGGCTTCTGGTTTTGATTTCTCAAACAGCATAGCATTTTTATTTTTAACAAATATCGCGCTGCACGGGGAAGATTTTGAACCAAATATTAAACACGTCATTTCGCACTCGTCTGGCTCTCGTTTTCGGTCGGCTCCGCGATACAAAAATCTTTGCGCCGCGCGATCCTTCTCGATAACCTTGACGCGCAAGTACATATCTTTCATATCAGCCTTGACTACGTTAGGATATTGTCTAAAACGCGTCAAAACTCCAATTAGTGATTCAAGCAAATCGGGGCCGGTTTCAAGTAAATCGTTCATACTTGTTCCTTGCGTTTTTTCCGCTGCGTCAAAGACTAATCTGACTTTTCCGGGTTTATTTGGATTTGTAACGCCAAAATGAGAAATGTATCTAATGTGCGGTGGCTTAGGACTCTTATTTACTTTTACCGCATAACCATTTTCAAAGAGTCTATTCATTTCTTTATAATATTTCGTAGCGAAATCAGGATCGCGATCTTGACGATTCTCTAGCGAGCGTAGACGTCTGAGCGCCGTCGCTCTCGTGTCTAGATCGGGCAAAGTATCGTCTTTCCATAACAATCCCGTTTCCCATATGTTTCCTACTTTCCGCGTTGTTTCATGCAAAATTTTGGAGGCTCGATCTACCCAGTCTTTTTGCGCATTAGTTTCTAAAATTCCGAGATTTTCCAAAACAAAGTATTTTCGCACTAATTCGTTTAACTCATCTAACTCCCTTGTTGCTTCGTCTTTTACGCAATCTGTCGTGCCGCAGACAGCGTGCACACTTAAGGTGCGAATTTCTCTCTGATCTTCCTCATAATAACCGTGCAAAACCCATCCCAGTAACGTGCGCGAAATCGCGAGTCCAGTATTGCTGATTCCTCGAGATTCAGCAGAGTCTATCAAACGCCAATTGTCTTGGCCAATGAGAATAAGGGGTTTCGCGTTCCTATACGGTTCCATTTCTATGATAAATTGATTTTTTATTTGTAGTGTTATTACGCTAGGCAGCGATTGACTCGGCAAGTTTACTTGAGAAACTGCTATCGCGTGTTCGACTCTCTGTTTGCCAAATGTACCGCACACCGTAAAACTAGTTTTTTCGCATTTTGCATGCTTTTCTCCACCCCAGAGACCGCGCACTAACATATCAATTTGTTCCCCACTCAAACCTAAACTTCGAGCGAATTTTTTATCTATAACGGTGATAGTAGATCCACCATCTAATAATGCATAGGTTTTGGTTACAAGATTCAGCCCTTCGACGCTAATTGGGACCATTTTTAAAAGACCTGTCCGCGAAACTAGTCACAACGACTGTTACGGGTTTTCGTCGCACTTGTCTTGTTGACGACGGCCTTCCGAATTTGAATCTGAACCGCGCTCGTTTTCGTTGCGACCGTGGTTCTTTTCTCCCCCGTCGCGATGTTCGTGTAGCAACGAATGATGTTGAGCACCGCACTCGCCGCATTTTCTTTACGACTTACAATTTACTCGCGCATGTTTCTCTCCGAGACAATTGAAGCAAACTCGTAATTCTTTTACAATTGCCCATTTTTCTTTCGTTGATTTATTTTTAAATGAAAAACATTCGCGCATAAAGTGCCCAGGCTTTTTACAAAACAAACACTGTTTTTTGCCTCTCGGGTGCTCGTCTTCGGGTTTATTTTCCGGGGCGTTCTCATCGAATGTCGTGCCGACGACTGCCTTTTTTAATAATTTTACCGCCCTCCTTGATGCATTGTTATCATTCACGCTTGTATCCCTATCAGACACGTCATGAGGCGTTGCTATTAGGTCTACGATATCCGAGCTTACAGCATTTGTTGCTTTTTGCAATAAAAAGTCTGACAATTTTTCAAGTTTACTTTCTCTACCTGATGTTGTTGCTAGATGGTCTGCGAATGACATCTGTAAGCTTGCCGGAAGTTTCGCGATTGCAGTTTTCCATAAAGTTGTTTCGGATAAATAATCGGTCAATTCCAGCGATTGAAAGGCCGTCAATGCGTTACTAAGGCCCGTGGCGAAATCTACGATGTTCGCTTCTCCATTTCTCATCGAAGGTAACCCTGTAATATCTTGTGCAATTCTATCCGCTATTAAAGTTGGGTTCCCGAACTGCAATCTTAATAAGTTCATAACTGAATTTGCCGACGACGCAGTGGCTAACAATGTTTTATTTTTAAGTTTTGCATTGTCGGTTACAGCTTTCTGTAGGCGCACAATATTGTCACTATCGTTGTATTCGAAGTCTTTCGTAGAATCCCTGAAACGTTTTTCGAAAAGGATCCAATCAAGCGGATCGCCGGCAAACTCAGGTAGCTCTTTCAAAAATGACGGACGGCCCCCCAATCTCGAACCGCTTTCGCTAGCAGCAACGTCTCTGACAGTGCGTAAGGTTTCCATGATCGCTTGTCCGATTGAGATGTTAGGATCTCCGCTCGCATTTACATTTGCATTAGCGTGATTAACACCGGATAGATTACGAACGCCAACCCGCTGGTTATACGCTCTGGTACCTTCAATTTCGTCGTGAAGCTCAGCGTTGTCTCGATCCACGCTTTCTTCTCGTACTGAGTTGATGCGTCGGCGAGGCTGATTAGCGCCCGTTAGTCCTCTCTTTGGCCGAGGCTGCTCGAAAGTGATGGCATTTGCGTCCATCTGTTGGGACGGTTGCTGCGAAGCTTGCCCATCCTCGCGAACTTGCTGTTGGCCCATTGCGACTTGGCTCGTAAGCGCAGCACGTGCTGCGTTGCGTGAATTTCTGCTTCGTCCACGCGGTCCCGTCGACCTTCCGCGTGGTTGCTTGGCTCTCTTACCGCTGGCAGCCGCGCTCGTCACTGATGCTTGTCGTTTCCTCGGAGCCATTAATGTAACGGAGACACAAATTAATCAGAATTAATCTTACACTCACATAAACGCTTTCCTATTCATACTTTTATTCGCAAATTCCTCACCCGGGGCACCAAATTGTTCGCGATAAGAGTAGTGTGAATAAAAACAATTATTACAAAATTATATCTAATTTATTATTATTACAAAAAAAATTATTAGTAATTATTAATTATGAATAAACAAATGAAATCAAGTTGTAAAAAACAAATAATATCTTTAGACTATCGGAAATTATAAGTGCGCTTGAATCGAGTTAGTAACGAAAGAACAACTTGCCTCGCTGATAGCCAAGAACTTTCTGACTAATACTTGAATGATGCTTGCCGAACGAGCCGAGAAATCAAAGCATTATTCTCCTCCATCCTTTTCTTCCCCTCAAAGGGGCTTAGAGGTGGAAGGCGTTAGTTTTCGTTTTTAGCTTATCGTTTGGACTATACGCGTAGCTATGCGCACCATACTGCTCGCTCTATCAATTGATCGTGTGCCTTTGCACGGATTTTCAGACGTTCAAGTGATGGTGTAATGTTACACGCTAAAAGTGCTTAAATGAGAATGTGCGGGATAATAAAATAAGAGGCGGGAGTAACTATGACTCTCTTAAGTCATGCGTATGGTTGGAAGTCATGCGTATGGCCGAAAGCAATGCGTATGGCTGGAAGTCATGCGCGTGGCTGAAAGCAATGCGTATGGTGATAGAGTTTTTAGTTGCTCAATGGGCTGGGTGAAGAGGTGTCCCCTCTAACCCAGTCAAGTCTTGGAGCTACCTCTTCGTGGTACCGCTAGTAATACATTTGACGTGGCTCAAATGTAGCTAAAGTCTTCAAG